CCCACTTCTTGGAAAAGCTGGCCTTCTCTGTGAGTACTGCCCTGCCCTGCCCTGCCCTGCCCAGCACGAGGTTCTGAGCACTACAGAATGGTTTGGGTTGGACAGGACCTTAAAGACCATCCAATTCCACCCCCTGCCCTGGGCAGGGACACCTCCCGCTATCCCCGTTTGCTCCAAGCCCCGTCCAACCTGGCCTTGGACACTTCCAGGGATGGGGCAGCCACAGCTTCTCTGGGCAACCTGTGCCAGGGCCTCCCCACCCTCACAGAAGATGCTTGTTCTGGGCTACACTGAAGGGTTATAAAAAACTTACTGCTTTAATAATTAAGAACATATTTGCTTTCTTAGTCCACAGCTCAGTTTGGCAGCAAGGATGAAATTCTCCTCACCTTGGAGAAGCACGGGGGCATTTGTGACTGCCAGGCATCAAGGTGGGCTCTCCTTCTCCTGCTCTCTTGTAACACTGACAAGCACTTTGAGTCCCTTTTTCTGGTGTGGGGCAGTAAAAGCCACTTTTTATTTCCAAGCAGCAGAAATCCATTTGTGGGGGCTGCTGGGAAGCTACAAAACTGAACCTGAAAGGGTTGTAAAAGTTAGTTTCTATCTCCTTTCGAAAGCATTTAATGAGCGAAGCAGCTTTACCTGACACTGAAACGACCCTGAGTGATCCCAGAAGTGAGTTCTCAGCGCAGAACTGTCTGTCTGTGTTGCAGGGACACCATCATGTACGCCGTGTCTGCCGATGCCAGGGGCCTGGACACCGTGGTCAACCTGCTGGCTGACGTAGCGCTGCAGCCCAGGCTGTCAGGTCTGGCAAACACAAGATTCTGCCTCTAAAAAAAGATTCTCCAACATGTGGCTTGCTCTTCAGATTTCTTCACTAGATTGTGCTCATCAGGAACTCCCCTTGCAGCAGTCGGGGGTTGTGATCTCTCGCTCTCTGTCCCGTTCCAGATGAGGAGATCGAGATGACCCGCACGGCCATCCGGTTTGAGCTGGAGGATTTGAACATGAGGCCTGACCCAGAGCCTCTGCTCACTGAGATGATCCACGCGGTAACACACGGGAAATCCCGCCTTGCATGCAGTGCCCTGCATTCTTCTCGTTTTTCTGTCAGCTCCAGGGTTTATTTTATGTTATTCTAAAAAGGTTTTTTTGTTACTCGATTCGATTTCAGTGATGGGAGAATTTTGCTGTCGCTCCACTCTGGAATCCAGCATTCTGCACTTGTGAAAGATTCTAACCTAAACTAAAAAAAACTATCTACAACGTAACCTTTGTGGTTGTGGGTGACAGTTGATTAATGAAATAGCGCTCAGCCTTTCCTCTCTCACACCTCAAAACACGTTGCCTTAATTCCAAAACAGAAAGGGAAGGTTTAGATGAGGGATTTAAAGGGTGATTGAGGTGATATTTGTTCCTTCAGTGTGTCTGCTCCCTTTCAGGCAGCCTTCAGAGACAACACAGTTGGGCTGAACAGGTTCTGCCCCGTGGAGAACACGGACAAAATCGACCGGGACGTGCTGCACTCGTACCTGCGCAGCTACTACACCCCCGACAGGATGGTGCTGGCTGGGGTGGGCATCGAGCACGAGCAGCTGGTGGAGTGTGCCAGGAAATACCTGCTGGGAGTGGAGCCCGTGTGGGGCACGGGGCAGAGCAGGGGCGTGGACAGGTCTGTGGCTCAGTACACGGGAGGCATCGTCAAGGTAAGGGCTGGAGGGGGTGTCATGCTCCTTGCTGTCAGTGGGAAGGGCAGATTTGGAGTCGAGCTGGTCTTTTGCTCTTCTGAGGTTCCATACTGTTCGTGAGCATGAGCCATGGCAGCTGGTAATGGGGTGACACGTTAATTATCAGGAATGTATCAAACTGGATGCAACAGCAGTGAAAATCAGTCCTAATAACCTGTCTGCTCTTCCCACAGGTTGAAAAAGACATGTCAGATGTGAGTCTGGGCCCTACTCCCATCCCAGAGCTTACCCACATCATGATTGGGTTAGAAAGCTGCTCATTTTTAGTAAGTATTAACCTAAAGTCCTTTGTTTTGGGAGCCCTGTACTTGAAGAATCCTTCCCACTCCTCTTGTGCCACTCTTTCTCTCCCCTTTACTCACCCCAGACCCTTGAGAGCTCTGCCATGACCTGACTGAATGTCTTGTTGCAATCCAGGAGGACGATTTCATTCCCTTTGCGGTGCTGAACATGATGATGGGAGGTGGTGGCTCTTTCTCAGCTGGAGGGCCTGGCAAGGGCATGTTCACCCGACTGTACCTCAATGTGCTCAACAGGTTGGTTTGCCTGTTAAGGGGTGGCAGAAACAGTCCCCCAGCAGGTTCATATGGAAAAAGCGAAAGCAAACATCCCCAGCTTATTCTCCTTGAAACATGGGACTGGTTTGTCAATGAGCATTTTGAGAGGGTGAAAGTCTCACTGGCACTGCTGAGAATCCTGGAAGTGCACTGGGAGGGCACTCACTGTCCGTGTTTGTTTAATTTTTACACGTAAATTCTGGCTTTTAAATTTGAAAATGCTGTTTGTGTACCCACAGGCACCACTGGATGTACAATGCAACCTCTTACCACCACAGTTACGAGGACACAGGTCTCCTGTGTATCCATGCCAGTGCAGATCCAAAACAGGTACAGAGTCCTGTATTCAAAGAGAGCTGACCTTAAAAAGTAACCACATCACTCAGTACCAGACAGTAATGTTGACACAGTAATTGTTGTTCTGATCTTCTTTCAACGATCTGGTTTCTGCAGGTTCGGGAGATGGTGGAAATCATCACCAGAGAATTCATCCTCATGGCAGGAGCAGTGGGAGAGGTCAGTAGCACATCTGAACTTGCAGACGGTCTTTGAGTTGAAATAATCCCTGGAAGTTTCCAAGGCCAGGGTGGACAGGGCTTGGAGCAACGTGGGGTAGAGAAAGGTGTCCCATGACAGGGGGATGGAAAGAAATGAGCCTTAAGGTCCCTTCCAAGCAAACCATCCTGGGATTCTGTGAACACACTGCAGAACTCTTCCATGTTATCTTGTGTCAGGGAGCAGCCAGCAGAATTTCTGGAACATTATTTGTATTTCCTGCTCCTTCACAGGTAGAACTTGAGCGAGCGAAGACACAGCTCAAGTCCATGCTCATGATGAACCTCGAGTCTAGGCCAGTGATCTTTGAGGATGTGGGAAGGCAGGTGTTGGCCACAAACACAAGGAAGCTACCTCATGAGCTGTGTGCCCTCATCGGTGAGTAAATGCCTTGCCTTGAGTGAATGTAGGTGCAGTTGGGGCAGGGCAACTTAATTTTCTTGCAGCACAGCTGAATTGCCTGAGAAAGCCTGGGGGCATAAATGCTGCAGAAATATATTTCAAACTGTTCTTGAGGGCTTATTTTAGTCAGAAGGAAGGAAAAACCAGAAGCATGGGAGAAAAGAGTGATTGTTTTTCTGAGCATCATCCTACTTACGATGTTGTTGTCACAGTCTGCCTTTTTGGTTTTTTTTTTTTTGCCTGCAGGTCAGGTGAAACCTACTGATATCAAGAGGGTGGTCACTAAGATGCTCCACAAGAAGCCAGCTGTGGCTGCCCTGGGTGACCTGACAGACCTGCCCTCCTACGAGCACATCCAGACGGCGCTTTCCAGCAAGGACGGGCGGCTGCCGCGGCTGTACCGGCTCTTCCGATAGATCAGCACGTCCTGCCAGGCTCACAGACTCCCTTCTCTTGGAATTTTTTTTTTCAGATTATAACGTTGCCGTACCACCCTCCCTCCCCCAGAGCTTCCCAGGCATACTGTGCAACCATGGAGCTGTGCTGCCGCCTGGCAAAGCTGCTTCGGAGCACCGGACCGCGAAGGGCTCGCGTGGGATTCCTTCCCGAGGGATGTGGTGGCACCTTAAAGAGCTTGGCTTACACGTCTGAACTCGAGGAATATTCATAGCTGTTACCAAGGTGGACAAAGACCTGCTCAAACTGAATTAGGACTATTATAATAGTTATTATCCCCGTCAAGTTTGGCAAAAAGGTTTCCTGCAGTCCAGGTTTTGTTGTAAATCATGGATTCGTTTCATCAGTAGTATCCACCGGGAGTCACGTGTCTGGGAATAATAACTTCATCATTTTGCTGGAGCTCAGAGGGAAGCAGACCCAGGGCATAACCAAGTTTCTGTGGAGTTCATCTGCAGAGATACTGTGCATAATGCTACATGGACACCTGAGAATGAAGATGATCCTGTTCTCCAGGTTTTTCACCCAGAAGTGAACTGTGCTAAAGAGGAAAGGTTCTTTTCCTCCAGGGTTGCTTCACAAACAGTTATTAAAGGAGTTGCTGCTGCTGCTGCACCTTAAAACTTTGTACCTCATTTCCTCAGCGTCACTCAGATGAACTTCAGGCCTTGCAAAAAGAAGACACAATCATCTGTCTCAGATGTCCCTCAGCTGGGAGTCAAGATCACAAAATTACAGCCTTTGGAAACGTTATGGTGGTGACCAACTCCACGTTACAGAAAGCCAAGTGCCACTCGTGACGCACTGAAGAAATGGAGACTCAAACGAGGAATAAAACATTTGATTTACGTAATCCCCCCAACACATGGGTTTAAAAACATGAACTCACTGCTAGCTGTGTGTGGTGAGGAGCAATCAAACTGGGAGCAGAGCACTGTGAGGCAGCTGTTTACCTGCTTTACCCCATCCTTTCCTCATGCAAACGTTGACAAAACGTTGCATTGTTTCCTGTGCAGCCCACAGTCTGGAAATCCTGTTCAGTTGTTGTGTATGTTTGTAAGGAAATAAAGAGGCCCCTAAACAACTGGAGCAAGCAATTCATCAGCCAAGGGCTGTGTTTTCTTGCACTGGCAGGTGAAATGTGCTTTGTTTTTCAATTCTAAAATTCCCAAGAGAAATCTGTCCTGCTCTTACAGCTGGAGACAAATGGCTCAGGTCACCCAAACATGCATCCCACAAAGAACTCTGGGTTCTGACAACAGTAAGAGCTGGCTCTCAGTTAAGGTATTGCATTAATTTATTTTTTTATTCCTTTAAAAAGAAAGGAAATCCAAGTGCCTGATGGCTACAGACAGGTCAGTGCCATAAATGTACCGCAGAACAGAAGCTCTGTCTTGGACAGGTTGCATAGTCAGCAGCACTTCCTCCAAGGTGTTTGCTGGGTGTTTTAGGTACTAAAGGTGATGAATGATCCAGCCCATCTGTGCCCATGAGGAGTTTTTAAGTATTAGCTGTACTTTACTTTAAATTTGACCAGTGCCACACTGGTCCTTGTAGTATGTTTAGCCTTAAGACAACACTACTTTGAAAGAGCAAGTTATTCAAAGTTCACCAGGTTGGAAAAACAAAAACCAAAAGGAACTGAGTGGGACTGGAGGTGATGGAACTGCGTGGAGCTGACTGGGCTCTGCAAACCCCCCTGGTACACTCACTTGGCATCACTTTGGTGAAGCATCACACAGTACTGGACTTAGACCATTCGTTTCAGTTCAGGTGTCCTGCTGCTGAAGGCAGGTAGTGTTTGGTGAGCCCTGGAGAGGGCAAGTGAGGTCAGGGAGGGATTGTTTCAAGCAGCCAAATATATGGCCTGAGAGCAGGGATATTTACCCCCTTAGTAACAGAAGGCCTGTAGAATGATTATTGAAAGGCAATGTTTCTACACTTCAGTGTACAGGAGTACATTCACACACATCCTGCTGGAGAGGACCCAAAAAGCCCAACAAAGGAGCACCATCCACACACAGAACTGCCCCCAAGTTCATCAGCTGGTCCCTTGTACTCATTTTACAGAATACTGAACACTTGGCTACAGAGAAGGAGCAAACCCCAACCCCACACTGTAAGCAAGCAGATCTGACCAAACCAAAGGAGACAAACAAAAAAATTCACTTTCCTGCAGGCTTGTCTTGGGTCCCCTGGCCCAGGTGATGCCAATTCCAGCAGCTGTGCCCTTGTGTGGAGTCCTCCTATAACCAACAGGCTGCACCCCAGTGGCTTCCTAAGATAGTTTGGTTAAAAATAAAATCCATTTTACCTGTTGGGATGGATGTCTTAAATAACTGACTCCTTTTCTTCGGCAAAAGCACTTGAGCTACGTGGATTAGCTCATGCAGATGAATCCAGGATGAGGTTTAAGACATTCTTCACCACTGCCAGAGGTGCTTAAGCAGACAATTCCCTGCAGGGTTTGCCAGGGCCTGAAATCCTCTTGTCAGGGCACCTCTACCACAAGCATTGCAGGGCTCTCAGCTCATGAAATGCTACATATGCTGCTGGATTTTTGGTCCTTTTGCTCCCGTCGTTTCTGAAGTTCCCTCGTGATCCTCCTCTTTATTCCCATTAAATACAGTTCTCTGTCAAACTGCCCCGCAGCAAGTGGAATGCTACAACAGAAACACAAGCCAGAAACAACAGTTGTTCCTCCAGAGCAACAAGTTAAGGTTTTTCACAACACGTTTAAATGGAGAAAATGCTGGCTGTAAAAGGGAAATGTGCTTTCAATTTAAGCATGACTATGCCTGCATTCATATATAGAGGATCTTTATGATCCTAAACCAAACCCCACTGATCAAATGCTTTGAGAAATCACCATTTTCTAGATAGGTCTTAAAATCTCTGATCATGCTGTTCACAGAAAGAATAAATGCATTTTACACGCTAGTAAAACAGTCCACAGTTGCACATTAGGAACTTGGAGGATCTCAAAATGCTCCACATCCAGCTATGCTGAAATGCAGGCTCAGCTGGGGAGGGAAAACAGCATTGATCCCAAAAAGGGAAAGGAGAAAAGAAAAGCTGCCCCTGCTGACAGGGAAAACAAAGAACTGCACCTCAGATAAAACACAGATTTATAATCAATTCCAATTGGCTCTGTTTATCCCCCTCAGGAGGATTAAGGGACCTGGAAGCAGGGATTTCAGCTGTCAGTGCAAGGTTTAAGCTCTCACTGCTCTGACCACCAGCATAAAAATCAAACAGGCTGCAGAGATCTACATGGGATAAACCTTATTTTAGGAATTCTGAGAGGACAAACTCCACACAGGAGCATATCCTCAGGATCCCTGGAGCCACGTGCAGTCACACAGAGCAGCACAAGGAGGTACTAACTTGTCTCTGCCAGGCCTCACTTTCACACGGAACAAGGCAAACACAGGGCGATGGTCTGAGGTTTTGATCACAGGACAAGAGGAGTATTTGACAGCCTGGATGTCGTCCTTGTACCGACTGCGGAACACGACCCGGTCCTGGAGACAGAGACAGAGAGGGGAGAGTGCTGGGAACTCCCTCTGCACACCCACCCAGCCTGGAAAGCAGCACTGCTTCACAAGAGACAAACCCAGTCATTTATCACCCTCCACTTAGTGGAATTAAGTGTCTTGGGCAGGGATGCATTCACGAAGAGTGAGTGTCTGACCACAAGAGCTGTTCTGTGCCCAGCTCTGAGCACAGGGGAGAATCCAGAATCCACTCAAACAGAATGAGGTTAATGAGCCTGTGCCAAACTCTCCCTGTGCTCACAGGTTCAACAATCCTTTCTTGTAGACCAGACCCACGTGCCCTGCTGCCCTTAAGCCACAAATCTCAGCACATCTGGATCCCCTTGGGTGCAGGTGTGAGGTGCTGAAATCATCCCTTACCGTGTAGGAAGGAGTCCTTTGTTTGGAAGTGGTGTCATAGCTGTCCTTCCCTATGTCAAACTTGTAGGAAGGGCGGAAATGGATGTCAGCTTCTTGGAATCCTTTGAAAATAGACCCTGTAAGGGAAGAGAACAGCATGAACAAATTCCTCCTTCCTGAGAATCCAGCACATTTCTGCACTGATTCTACTAATGCTGGCTAGAAACATATGTGACTAGAAAAACACGGAGTCAGGCTCCAGAAAGGGAGAAAGCTCAAGTTCTTACACAGTGAGGATAAAAAACAGCCAGTGGATATTCAGTCAGTGCCAATTGAACAAAGAACACCTGGTCCATGCACTTCCCCTTCCACTGAAAGCTTGTGCTGCTTTGCAAATGCTCAGATGTTCAAATCTAAATTCCCTGGGCACTGTGACAGAATGGTGTCCCAGGTTACGGAGAGTCAAATGAAACAGCAGCAAATGGTTTGGGAGGTTACACTATGGATAAAATGCCCCAGCAGAAGGTCCCTTAACACTCTGCCACTTTGTTTGACAACTGCTGACTTCCTTTTTTAGGGAACGCAACAAAAGGAAGCAGGAAAGGTCTCCGGTAAATTGGCTGTGATTAGTCCTGTGTGCAGATATCTTTGTTCCTGGGGATGAGGGAGGAGAAGAGCTGCCTCTCACCCCTACTCATCTCACTGGTGAGCTGGTCATACACCAGGAGCCTGGACACGTCTGTGTCCGGGTTCTGCTTCAGGATGGAATCCACAGTCTCTCGGTCCTTGTTCAGTCGGAAGTTGAAGTCACCAAACCAGAAGACTTCATCAAACCGAGTTGTGACATCACCTGCAAAGTCAGGCCACAGGTGTTCAGGATATGCTCCCAGATATGGTCAAGGCATAAATAAATCCCTCCTTTTCCCTACCAGGAGATGTGATACTTGAGCACATTTTTCGCCTGTGACCAGCACAGAATATGGTTATTAAAAACCCAGCAGAAACAGAACAGAAAATTTAAACATCATAGAAAAAGCTGAAAAGACACCAAACAATCTATAGGACCTAAACCCAGGGTGAACACAAAACCCTAATTCTACACTGCGGATAAAGAGTCAATTCATCTTTCTAGAAAAAAAAACCTGGCTACTTATCTAGGCATGATGTTATCAGCACACTATGAAGAAACAATAATGGAATTTGGCAAACAATACACTGACCTGTGTACATGCAAAGTGACATAATGGTCCTTAAGTTTAGAAATAAATTAATTCCTAATTGCTCTAGAAACATTTGGAAAGTAAAACACATCTGTAATAGTGGTAATAATTACACCAAAATTATCATATTGCTGGAAAAATACATCACATAAAAATTCCTTTTTGAATTTTTTCTCTCCCGTTTCAATTTTTTTTAACCCCCCCCCCCAAAAAAAACCAAAAAGAAATGAATTGTGTGAGTAATAACCATCCTCAGACAAAAAGCCCTGGGGTCTCTTTTTATACTCTCTCAAATTATAACTCTCCTTTTCTCTTCCTTAGTGCAGACTGAAAGACAATGCACAGCCTGTTGGGTTCTCACACAGTCAGGGTTTCACACTTACTAGAACTGGATCGATATGGATTTGTGTCTGGAACATTCTTGGGAAGCGTGAGGGCTTGAATGGTTTTATTGTAGTCCAGTTTCCTCTCATTCACTTTACTGTCCCCAGCTGAAAGACACAAACCCCATTACTGCCAGTGATGAATCATTTTCATTCAATGACCATTTTTGGCTATAACAGGAGCTTCCAAAGGGCATCAGACATTTTCCATGTGTAAAAAGGGACACTGACCCAGGGAACTCACACACTGAAAAATAATGACAGAAAGTGTGGAAAAAGGAATATAATGGTGCAGAGTTCATTTCTGTTTCAGTAAACACAGTTCTTTCGTAAGTTTGTTACCAAACAATCCTCCTCCCTTATCGTTCTCAGCTCAGCAATCCTGAGCTTTGCCTTCAGCCTGTCCTGCTTTTTTAACTCTGTCCAGATCCCTCCCCTCCTCCCTCAAACAGGACCCTTCTAGCAAGATTGTAAATGTCTCACACGTGAAGTGGGAGGTGATGAAGAGAAAGGAGGTCCCAAAAAACGTGAAGCAGATTCCCAGCGCTCCCTTGGTTTTGATCTGAGAAACGATTCGAGTTGTCACCGTGGCGTACTCCACTTCTGGAAGGAGAAAAACAAGATGCTTTCACTGAAAGCCTCCAGAGACAGCGAGCAGGGAAGAGAGGAGAGGGAGAAAAAGCCAGGCCACTGGCTGGCAGCAGTGCTTTCATCTCCCCACACACCTGAGCAGAACCAGATGAGGTCCCTGCGGATGAAGACTGACATGTAGAGCACCCCGTGTGCGGCCGAGTAGAGCAGAACGTAGTGGGGGCCCAAAGTCTCCTGCAGGCGGATCTCCCACTCTCTTCTGCAGGAAAGAACAACAGCTGGATCACACAGACAGTACAGGAGACAACAACCAGAGAGGAAATCAGTATTGTGGAAACACAGCAGTCCTTCTGATACAGAACATCAACGAACAGTAAGCAAAACCTCCACTGAAGTGCTCAGAGCCCCTCAGAGCTGGGCTGAGGCGCCACAGGAACCAGCAGGATTTTGGCATCAGCTGCTCTAACAGGACCAAATTCTGTGTGCCCAGAAAGGCTGTGGCTGCCCCATACCTGGAAGTGTCCAAGGCCAGGCTTGGAGCAACCTGGGCTAGTGGGAGGTGTCCCTGCCCATGGCAGGGGGTGGGACTGGATGAACTTCAAGGTCCCTCCCAACCCAAACCATTCCATGACTCTATGATTTACAGATCTTTGTGCCTTTTTCCTCTAAAGTCCATTTCCAATGGTGCTCATGCACTGAATTCTTATTAAATGGGCTGATAAGTGAAAATATTAAGATTATGATGGATACTATTTCCAGGCTAATTCAAAGCAATGTAATTAGTTAACAATAAAATAAGATGGTTCATTACATTGTTTTTGCTACCTGTCTGGACAGCCTTCTTGAACCCCAATGACATACATGTCCTGGGCATAGTCAGGGTCTGTTGGCAATAAAAAGTCATCCAGATTCACTGGAAGTTCCTATTATAAAAGAAATGAAAAAAAAAAAACCACCCAATATTAGTTGTGCTCAGATTTACAAGAAAAGTACCTTGTGATTTGATAAAGATGATGAACATGAACAGAAAAACATCAGTAAAGCTGGGGTAACTTTACCACTGTGGAGACCTCTGTGCTCTTACCTTCTGACCCTGCATGTTCCAGGTGGCCACAAAAATTCCAATATTCCGATCAGGGAAATATCTGCTCAGTTCTTCTGCTCCCAGTAAGGCACCACTTGCCATAAGGCTGCCTTCCAAATAGCTCCTGTGAATAGAAGATCCATAAAAGAGCATCCAAGGAAAGGGAATGGGATAATGATTTGTAATGCTTGAATCTTGAGTTATTCAAGAGTATATCTTTAAGAAGAAGGTATTTAGTATTTATATACTGTTCTGCTTGCTTAAATTTCCCTATAGAGGTCCAACTCTTACAGAGAGTTTCTGGATGATCTTCAATAAAACAAAACCATTGTCACAAAGCAGCCTTTCAAAGCCAGGACAGGAAGATGATGGTGAGGCTGGTGCTGCCCAGGTGCTGTGATGAGAAGGCTGAGGTCATCTAAGTCTTCAGCCCCAGACACAGAATGAAGAGATTGGTTTGGTAACCTGGCCCAGGTTGCCCAGAGAAGCTGTGGCTGTCCCATCCCTGGAAGTGTCCAAGGCCAGGTTGGACGGGGCTTGGAGCAACCTGGGCTGGTGGAAAGTGTCCCTGCCCATGGCAGGGGGTGGGACTGGATGGGCTTTAAGGTCCCTTCCACCCCAAAGCAGCCTGTGATTCCATGATCCTGCAGTATCTTGAAGCACTTTGGTTCACTTGCAGCATCAAAACAGCTCCACCATGCCCGGTGTTCTGGCACCAAGTTGCTCCTAAGTAAAGACTCAAATTCACACTCATCCTCCAATTCAGCTCATCAAATAAACAATTTATTGAGCCTGAGGTCTCAAAATATCACATTTGGAAAGGACAGATCCATCCCATACCTCCTGCCCCTCCAAAGGACACACTGTTTACACAGGCAAGGGCTGTTGGCACAAGGACTGCCCATTGAATAAGCATTTTTAATCTCGCTTTAAGCTCTGCAAATAACGATGACAACACAATGTCAGGGAGTGCTGGGCAACCCACTGCCTCCAGCTGCTTCAGGGAGGGAAGTGGAAGAAAACCCTCAGGAGAAACAAGTAACAATATATCCCGAGGGGCTTTTTTACCAGTCAGTTTATCTCAGAATTATTTTCCCCTCTACCACTGACTCTCAATCTTTGAATCAAGGACTAGATTCTTGCCTGGAAAAGCTGGGGCAGAGGAGCTCCTCTGGACACTGGAGCAGTTCCCAAGAGGTGATTTGATCCTGCCAGAAGCCAAACAAGCACAACATCTGCAGAGGGCCCACAGCACCTTACAGGACAGTGATAACACTGCATGTCCTGCATGACAGTTTTAAGCTAGAATATTTGGGTATTTTTCCTGCCACTTAACACTTCAGTTCAAGCCCAGTGTACTTTTAGATTTAAAAAAAACCAATTCTCCCAACTGCTGACATGCAGAGGTACTGTTTGTAAATTTTCAAAACAGGTTATGTAAATATTACAAACAAACTGACAGCAAATCAAACATAGAAATGAAAATAATCAGCTAAAAGGAGTAAACACAGAGTATCTGTACCAATCTCTTCATCTTCCAACTGTTTCCAGACTCCACAGCAGGTTAAACAACACAGAACGACTTCTGTGCTTTCTGAGTGGCCGGACATTCCCAGCCCCTGCCCAGTGGGATTCCTCTCCCTGCTCACACCCCCCAGACTTTTGCCAGGAGAAGCTGGGGAATTTACCTGCTGCGGACATCCTTGGCTCGGATGGGGGTGAGCAGGCTGAAGGTGGATTTCATGGAGTCTGTGGAGCAGCTGTCGGACACCATCCCGTTGCCGTGCAGCCGGGTGTCGCTCAGGCTGCTGCTCACCCTCCCAAACTTGTGCTGAGAATAATGTCGGTAATCCAGACAATCTGAGTCGATCCTATTAGCTGTCCTCGGGGTGTGAGAGGCCACGTTGAGCTCCATGGGGGGCAGGGGGCGAGCCGGCATGATTTGGGCCAGGCGGGGTTTGCCTCCCGAGAACGCTTTGCCCCGCAGCAGCCCCCCGAAGGCACTGGAGATCTCCGAGGCTCGTTTCCCCAGGTCGGAGGTGCTCCCCCTGCTCTTCCCCACGGCACTGGCTTCTGAGGCGTCTGGTGAGCTGTGCAAGGAGTTCTGCTGGCAGCAGGGATGGCAGGGGCTCGCCCTGCCCCTGTTGGGAGGGCTGGGGGATGCTTCCTGCAGGGAACCGTTGGAGGAACTCGTGTCGTTGGGGTCAGTCAGGCTCTCCTGGCTCGTCCTAAAGCGCCTCCACTTCCTCCAGCTCTTCTCATCCAGGGATGCAGCACGTTCCAGCCGGGGCTTCCGGGGAGGCCTCGGGGTGATCGATTTAATTTTCATATTGGCTTTGAGCTCCTCTGGGAGAAGCTTTAAGGTCTCACTTACAGGGGTGCCCACGCTCACAGGACCTTCGGCAGGAATCGCCACACGGCCACCAGCCTCCTTTTTGGCTGCTTTTCCGGCTTTTTTAGCCTGCAGGTCCTGCACTGCTCCACCCTCCATGCTCTGGGTAACACATGCCCTTGAGTGCTGTGGAAATCCATTTGGAGTGCTCATCCTCCCCCAGGTACCAGCTGTGGATGCTGCTCCAGGTGAAAAGTTCCTCACAGCATAGTTTCCTTCCCTTTATCACCCTGTGGGTTCACAGGGCTTCAACGACGCCAGCAAGGCATGGGAATTGCACACAGCTCAGTCTTTAGCTGGGAATGAAGGGCAGGTGCACGCGCAGGCAGATGCATTGTCTGAAAAACTCCAAGACGTGGGATACCTGGTTTTCCCCCAAGAGAAACACGTTAGGATAAAAAGTTATTGAGCTGCAAATTGTGATGTTTAATCATAAAGCATCTCCTCGCAGGACCTCCCTCCAGCACAACTCAAACCTTAGCGTGACCTTGTTAGAAAAACATCATTATTTCGTTTATCAAGAGCAGAGCAGAGAACTGACCTCGCTGCTGCAGATACCAGGGCAGAGCGTGCACAGTTCTGTAAGAAAAGGCTGTGTGCCCTCTCAGAACGAGAGGAAACCCGACCTGCACACAAAGCGCAGCTCGCTCTCCTTGCCGTGCACACACACACGGCGTCACCAGCACACCGGGCTGCCCGAGGCCAGGAAATTTCCACCCGTCTCACAGCAGGGAAATCGCCGCCGCCGCCTTTCCGCGCCTCGCACCGACCGCTGACACCGAGCAAACACCCGAGGGGAGGGTGGGTCTGGGGGGATGGAAACGGCGTTCAAGGCAAAGCCCTCCAGCGATGGGGGGAAGCACCTCGTCATTCTGCGGCTACCGCGCTCCAACCCGGCCCTGCGGCCGCCCCCGCAAGGGCAACACGCGGCGAGCGCAGCCCCGAGCGCGGGTTCAGCACGGCGGGGGCCGCCCCCGCATCGCATCCCCCGGGCGGGGCGGGACGGACCGGCCCTGACCCAGCCCAGCCCAGCCCAACCCGGCCCGGCGCGGCCCTCACCGGCACCGCTGCCCCTCTCCACTCCCATTCCCCCCGGGTGGGACTCACCGGCTCCTCCTGGGATTCTCCGCGTTCCCCGCGGGGCTCGGCGGCGGTGGGGGCGGCCGTGCCGGTGTGGTGCCGGTGTGGTGCCGGTCCCGGTGCTGGTCCCGCTGTCGGTCCCGCTGTCGCTGAGGCCGCCCCGGCCCCTCCCTGGCAACGGCGGCGCCGGGCCGGGCCCGCCCCGCGGGCAGCGCCCCCTGGCGGCCGGAGGAGCGCCCGCCCTGAGGGGAGCGCAGAACCCTCGGGCGCGACTGTCGCGATACGGGCGGTGTTTAAATGAGCGGCCTGAAGCAAACATTTCACACTCGTAAAAAAATTAAAAGTTGACCGTATTAAGGCCCAAAGCTTCGATTCTGAACATTTCAATACAGACACTGATCACGGAATCGCAGAATGGTTTGGGTTGGAAGGGGCCTTAAGAGCCCACCTTCCACTATCCCAGGTCGCTCCAAGCCACGTCCAACTTGGACACTTCCAGGGATGGGACATTCATCTTTTCTGCAGGAAACCTGTGCCAGGGCCTCACCACCCTCACTGCCAAGAACTTCTTCCCAGCATCTCATCTAAACCTACTCCCGACAACAAACCAGTTCCAACACCGAACACTCCAGGCTCCCTCGCACGGATCATTCCCAGAAGAACAGGAGAGGTTCCTCCACCCGGCTCGCTAAAGCAATAACCACAAGAAGAAAGTGAAATGTGAAAGTGCTCCAGAGCGCAAAATATTTTATTTAAGAATTTACAGTGTCAAATCTTACACTTAGGAAAGACAGCTGCTCCCAGCTCAGAGGGAGCCTCCTTGAACGAAGTTGTTTGGCAGTCTCTACTGAAAGGAGAAAATAATCAGCAGCCTGGCTCGACTAGAGGAAAGCCAAGTGTCTGATTAGGTTTCAATTATAGAAAAGTAAACCACACTGACTGCTGCTGCCCATGGCTGGAATTGAGTATGGACCATCACACAGAGGTTTCTAATCCCCCCCAACAGCCTTTTACTTGGGCTGTGTACAAACCTTTTGGGACACATGTAAGGCTATCATGATCTCAGAAAAGTGGTGTTACTCAGAAAAAGAAAAAACAAAACAATGGGGGGAACCAACACTGGCAATTTCACATTCGTGTTACTTCTACTCCCGGGCAGAAATTCAAGTAAAATCAAATAGTTTGGTGACAAGTTCTAAATAAAATATGGCCTAATGATTTAATAAATATTTAAAGTTTATTTCTCTCTTTGTAGATAATTCAGATTCTTCAGTGAATATAAATGCTGCATATCATGGTTTTCAGGATTTCCTATATTAAACCTAAAGATTTTAAAGTCCATCCGTAGAGGTCTAATCCGCCTACTTTTAGTACGTTCGAAATTCACCTGTTAGCTACTTAAGACCTTGGTTATTTTAGTAATGGAGATTCAAGAACGGATTATTACGCTGATTCTGGCACTCAAAAGGAGAAAAAAAAAAACACAAACCAAAAAACTTTCAAGCTGTTACCCCCCAGTTGCACAGTGCCAGCAGCTTGAGAGAAAGCAAGTAACCGTATTGCACTTAAACGAACACTCACTCGTCGAGAGAACAGCATTGGCTATGATACAGAGCTCCTTCCCACTATACAGTTGGCTTTACAAGTAGTCTAAACCACGAACTACATACAGACTAGGAGAGATCCAAATCAAACCAGGATTAGATTACAGTCACAGTTTTTCATTCAACGCAGGTCAATTTATTTGGATGAGCTGTGGCCCCCTCCCCGCTCCCAAAAAACACACCGGCGCGAGGCGTCTCCCAGGGGAACGGATCCAGTTCCACGTCCTGGCAAAGCATCACAACTGCGCATGGTCCTCTTAAGGCCACAGTGTTCTGTTACAATGTGGACATGTTTGTTTTTGTTTTTTTTTATCCCCGCTGGGAGGGGAGCATCCTTCAGAAATTAAGGAATCCCTGAAACTATGCCTTGGAAGGTCACACTAGTAGGTTGAAAATAAGGAACAAATTGCCAATGCAATTTACAAATAGGTTCTGTAACAGACAGCAACTATTTCCTCCCTTGCGTCTATTCTTTATCACAGCAAAGCTATTTCTAGCCAGGTTTTTTTTTTTTTTAAAGGAAAAGTTACATATATTTCATGTTTGGTAATGGTTTTGCGTAGATGAGGTGCAAGCAGGGAGACCCATGAAAAAAAATCACCCATCATTAAGTTTCTGTCATGTCAACTGCAGCTGATACCACGTGCCATAAGGCTGAATAGTTCTTTGCATACTCAGAACATGATTGGGGATTCCAAATACAAAGCCATTGTATTCTACTTCAACGTTGGATACTTCCTCTGTCCGATTCTTCCCAGTCTTGAACTTCCAGTGGTTGCAGGAGACTGAAAAAAGGAAGAACAGAAATTAGAAAAAAAAAGAAAAGTTCTGTAGAAGTGTCATGCTGGAGACAAAATATAAAAAATTGGGAATAAAGGTTTGAATGAAAATCTGTTAAATTAAGCAGGTGCCAGACTGGTCTTTGTGCACAATTAATACCCTACACGGAATAATCCAGATTAAGCTGGTTAAGCACAAAATCATGTTTTGTTCAAAGTACAGAATCACAGATTGATTTGGGTTGGAAGGGAACTTAAAACACCCTCCAGTCCCACCCCCCTGCCATGGGCAGGGACACCTTCCATAGACCAGGTTTCTCCAAGCCCCATCCAACCTGGTCTTGGACACTTCCAGGGATGGGGCAGCCACAGCTTCTCTGGGCAATGCTGGATCATAAAAATAAGGCAAAGGAAAGATGAAGCCTTTACTCACTTGTGCAAATTGAGAGGGATTGTAGAATGGTACCGCTCCTGCTGCAGGTGCCCCCGAGGGTGGTACATTGGCAGGCTGGAGAGAGAGAATCTGCAGTTAGAGAAGGGCAGAGCTTTGCTGCCTCTCAAACGTGGTTTGCTGAGTTGTACAGAGCAAATATTCACAGGAATAATGCCACCAACATGGAGAGCACAGCATATTGTAACAACCGCAGAGTGCTGGCACAGTTTGCATCCAGATCTAGGAATATTACTTGCTTAATGTAGGAATTGGCCAAACAATGCCACACATGCATAAACCGTCAATAGCTCTGAAGATCCAAAGCATGCAAAACCAACACAAGACACCGGTGCAACTTCACTGAATTAGTACCTTCTGCCTTTGTTAGTACACCTTAGGGCTTGCCCCAAAATAAACATTCTATGTCAAGTTTGGCTTCACTAAGAAATATCAGAAAGGTTTGTATCACCCCTTTTGTGGTGAACCCACAGCTCTGGAACTTACAGCAGAGATGAAGCATTCCTTTAATTCCTACAGGGACTTTTGCAGATGGTTTATTACCAATTTGAGACTGGCAGCAGTAGAATGACTAAGTTTTGCTTGTTCGTGTCTTTTTAGATTTGTTGTGTTTGGTTTGGGGATATTTTGTTGTTGTTTGTTTGTTTTTTTGTTTAAAATCAACTGGCTTATTTAGCATCCCAGGAAAAAGATGGTGAAATCATTATATGAATCTCTTAGGAACATAAACAAAAAGCATGCCTGGATTACATGCACTCTGATAAATACACAAAACTGAAGACCCTGTTTGAGTGTAAAAAGGAACACTACATCATTAGCTACTTATAATGATATTTCTGTGAAATGAGAAGAGGGGAAAATGACTAAAAGTAGCATTAGTGTTTGAGCAAACGCAAAATAAAGATGGGAGGGGGGAGGAAGTAAAGAAGTTAACATAAATGAGAATGGCCAGCCACGTGTACCTGATTAAAATGCTGGCTTACTTCACGTGATAATGAACTCATTGAACTAGAGCGCGAAAGCTACAAAACAGCAAGAACACACAAATACAAAAAAACACAAATAAAAAAAGTCGTCATGCATGTCACTGCCCCAAGCTTTCAGTTGTTTTATTTCATTGTAAAAGTCTCACTGCCAAAGGTTAAACCAACTTCAAGTTAAAAAAACAAAACAAAAAAAACCAAAAACAAACCAAAAAGAAACAAAACGTAAAGCCAGAAGTTAGTTTAAATCAAAAGGACTTCTTAAAGCACAAAATTATGTAGATATAGAAAACATTTAGTAGGAACAAAGGTAATGTTACTCTGCCTGGCACACAGCAGTCTCATCTCCTTGTGCCTTGCACTTAATATTAGTGAAATTACAAGCATGCATGGAGGCAAGAAGAGATCCTCAAACTGCTCTCAACTTTTACTCTGAAAAAGGCTTGTAAAAGTAGTTATATGGGCAAAGGAGATCATATCACAGAATGGAGGACATGAGGCTGAAGTTCCCACATGGGCCTAGAGGTTTTTTTCTCTACAATTCTGGAGGCATTCATATTCCATCTTGGCTACTCATCAGCAATTGAATCAGTTATTTGGTTTTGATGACCAATAGTAAGTCCACTACAAATTAATGCTTAAAATATGTTGTAAAAGTTCATTAGCTGCTTTGTATCAAGCCTTACCTCGCCTGATTGGGAGCCATCAGGGTTTGGAACAGGAAGTCCAGATCCAGCAGGAAGGGCTGCAGGGTTTAAGTACTAAAGAAAAACAAAGCACTTCTGTTTATCACCATTACTACGATGCTATTTCACATTTCTGCTACAGATCTCACTGAAGCAGAATTTCGCAATACACGAAGCAGGCGAAACATGCAGCGTAACATTTTTATCTTCCTGGTCCCTTTCCTGGCACATCCTGCACCCACAAAACCTGCAGCCCTGCCAAATTAGGAAATGCAACTTCTCAGGGGATTCCCACTTCCATTTTCACTTGCATTTCCCTTCGCCAGTTCTTCAAATAAACCGTTAAGCCACAATTTCTACAGCAACATTCTTGATGCGTTGTGGCTGCGAAACTGCTGCGCAGAACCACGAGTCGTTTTTCATCAGAAAGTTTGAATTACGTCCACAAGACATTCTTTCCAACCCACCTCTGGTTCCACAGCTGCAGCAGGATCTGTGTTGGTTTGGTTTGCAGTTGGTGTGTGCTCTGCTGCACCACTCCCTTCCATCGGCTGGGATTCCCCTGGAACTACAGAGGAAACAGGATTTAGGCAAGCATTTAAAACCCATGAATAGCCAAACAAACCTCCCTACAGCTGCATCCACGTGACACACCT